GGGCTGATAAAACTTCCAAAGGCCTGAAAGCAATGTCTATAAACTTATATGAGTTTGTATGTAATGTATGAATATAATATACAAGTTTCACTTTTTAAATGGAATTACTGAAATAAATCTACTTTTTCATGATATTCTAATTTTATGACCAGCACCTGTACATGTAGCAATCAAAAAGTTTTTTTTAAACTCCAGGGTGTGTGAACTGAACGTGTCCGATGTGCAATTTTTGTTAAAAAGAAGATTAAGTCAACGTTATTAGGAACATACTATTTKTAGTATTTAGTGGAAATAAGAATATATCTGATGTTTTTTGTTTCATTTTTTTCTCATTTTACACTCTCACAAAACTAAATCCTAAACTTCATCACAACAATAGGTGGAGTAAGCCTTGGATAATGGGTGGGGCTTAAACAGCACCACTGTGGAGATTTAGGTAAATCTGTACTAACAAGTAAACTATTTGTTAAGAATCAGTTTATTTACATTTTTAACCATTGTTTAACCAGGTAAATCCCTTTGAAATCACAGATCTCTTTTTCAACAGTGGCCTGGGCCTGAAGACGATCTATTGTACATATTTTTGGGGTGTGGGTGAAACCGGAGTACCCAGAGAAAACCCATACAAGCTAGATAAAGAACCGAGTAAACCCATTAGCTGAGAACACAAGCTAAGAGRTGACTGATGCTTAACCAGGATCACTGCTTGAACTGGACCGACGAGGTCAAAACTGGACAACACATTTTAAGAAAACTTTTACACATATTCTGTATATTCCAAAAATAAAAAGAAGCCGACAGAGAAGCTGGAAGAGATAATATAATTTCACACTTTAACTGAAATGAACCCGCCACTTCTAAAGTCAGGAAATACAAGAAGGTTTTGTGAAGATTAAAGTGCAKTTTTAATTAACATTTAACAACAAACTGGAAATAAATGTCTAAAAATGAAACTAAAATGTCAYTTTTCAGAAGTTTGACACTTTTACCATGAACATTACACTAACTGTTGGGTAACCTCAACTTTTTTTTTTTTGCATCACTGCATCTCTAAAAGGAAGAGGTTTATATCTTGTTTTTTAATCATTGTGACACTAACAGGAATGAGTCTGATAGATCAAAGATCATTTAATGCCATTCAGAATCGTAACTCCTGCAGCATGGTTTGATGTCTGCAGCAAAAATAATGAGAAAAACCTAAAATACCTTTTTTTTCCAGGCCATGAACATGAAAACAGGCTCTGGCTTTCAAAAACTGACCAGGAAACATGCTGGTTGATCAAGACTTGCTGGTCCCGAACATTCAGAACCAACTTCTGTCCTCCAGATGAAACCCAGTGAGTCCATCATTGATGTTCTGCTGTTCAGTCTAACAGACTCACTGGTCTTGATGCCCACACCTGGTTCAGTTGATAATAGGGCTGCCACAAACGATTATTTTTATAATCGATTAATCACAGATTATTTATTTGATTAGTCGACTAATCAGATCATACGTTAATTAAATATAAAACATAGAGCTTATATTGCCAGAATGCAGCTGCTATTATATAACCATGGTTAGA